GATGACTTGATCCCTGATGTCAACAATGGGGTCATTTAAATTACAATTCTGTGCTTGTTTCCTGAGTCTAGCGATGAACTGATCAACTGTCTCTCCATCCTGTTGAGTCATGCTTCTGAATACATGTCTCTCATACGATTTGTTCAGTTTGGTTACAAAATACGCGTTCAGAGTGCGAACAGTTTTCTCGTATTCCGTTGCGGTATCTTCCTCAAACGTATCTGCGCCTGGGTCCGTTAGCGTTTCGTACAACTCTTGAACCTCTATTCCCGCTGTGTGAAGTAGCAAAGCTTTCTTTTGCACGTCATTCACCACTCCTTTGGCTACGAGAAAGTATTGAAACGATTGAAGCCATTTCTTCCAACGTGGTGCCAACGCTGACGAATTCCCTTCGCACTCGAACGGACTTATCCCTTTGATTTCGATATTACATGCCGCCATTATTCCCATCCTACGTTGCCAGTGTTAAATATGGAGAAACCAGTTGATGGTTCCAAACATGGTCAGATTTAACTAGATGAAACACACAACATAAGCATACAAGTTTCCAACATGGCGGTCTACTCACGAGCTGACCTGCTTTAATGCGCATGTGTTAAACAACAACCGCTGGAAGATAAATAGCAAATACATAACAAGGATTCATCTTCAGAAGACGCTGACCTTTTAGCCAAATGGCAACTTTTCTTAGCGGCTGAATTGATGATATTCTGCAAAGATATTGAGCTAGAGTAAACCAGCTCTGGCTGCGAGGGATCCGGTAGCTTCTGAAAGACAATTTCCTCTTGAAAACTTTGCTGCAGTCTGCGTTTTAACCTCTCTGACTTGTAACTTTTTGCCGTGTTGCAGCGAAGGCGTTGTAAAATTGCCTGGTAAGAGTCCGAGAGGGTTTTCATATCAAGGGCCACTCCTGATTCTAACTGAGGTTTGATGTCCTGTCTCGGTTTTTGGAAAGCTTGGATGTAAACATCTTCCTCCCCATTAACTCGAAAGGCAGGAAACATTAGGTAGGATTTACTTACATATTGGGAGCGGCAGTGTTTATGATACTTGGCCTCCGCAGCAATCAAATCAACTCCTGAAATCTTCAACAGCATACTCTCATCACTCCTTCTTCGTGAAGCCTCCTCTATAGCCTTGCGTGAATCAAATGTTGAAACGTTCATACGTTTTGTTGTCCCCTTTGACTTTTTCTGCTGGCAAAATAGATAAAGGGACCAATCCACTGCATTAACTTGGATCCCGAACTTGGTCTGTCAACGTGCCTTTCTTGACTTTCAGCAAAAGGTAATGGTTTAATAAAGCACTTCCCGTACCAAAGTATAGTGTACTTGAAGTGTACATATTATGTAATCAAAGTATACTGCAAAAAGTATACAAAAAGTATACTTTTTGTAGGAATTAAGTTAGTGTTGAGTATACTTGAAGTATACTTGTGAGCATACTTCAAATATACTCCAAGTATACTGCAACCCACCTGAAATTGGAACACCCTAAAGTATACTTTAAGTATACCTTAAATATGCTTATAGGTGTACTCGAAAATCAGTTGGCAGACAGGCTATATGAAAAGTATACTTTTATATGCCTCTCTGCATGGTCTCAATTTTATCTCATCAGAGGCTTCACATACTTACTGCATGTTTGTGCTGGTTTTACGAGTGAAGCGTTTTTTATATCTTATTGGCTTCACACAGTGAAGTACCAATAAGCACTGGAGTCGTTACAAATGCCATACAACACTGATAGCCGGTAAATTAAATGTCACTATGTAAGTTTAAAATAATGCATACAGTAACGTAATGCAACATCGGGCATACAGGTACTAATTTTGGACAGAAATGGAACCTAGGTGGAAATAAACTATAGCAAACAAAAGAGGCTCACCTCTGGCAATTGAAGAATGGAGGATAAACTGCCTATTTCCGCACAGTTGTCTTTAGGTACACTGCGAGGGCCTTTCTTTGATTTAATTTTGTAAACTCTTGTTTGCAAAAACTAGCATAGTTAGCCATGCTAAATATTATTTAGCATTTGCAACGTAATTTTGAATGTTGTCATTTATGCTGAGAAAATTTGATAAGTAATATCAATAAAGTAGAATTCCTCATGACACTGTTGTTTGTACTTAAACTCACTCAAATTTAATTCAAAAGTATCATGAAGTGTGATAATTTGCTTCCACTTTTTTTTTTGTAAAATTGCAATAATAACTTGACCTAGGTATTTTTTCACACAAACTGGTACAGGAACCAGGTCACATTTCAACAGGAAAACTATATTACTATTATGGTGATTTCCATAATGGTCAGGGCTTGAAAAAATTAGTCCCATCCAGTCGTCTGGGATGACTAGATTTTCCTGCCGGGCAAGACAACTTTTCACGCTCCCTTGCCCAATGGGCAAAGGCCAGGCAAGTCATCTTCTAACTAAAACATTCGTAAACCAAGACACACATTCTATGACATCAGGCAAAGGAAAAAATAACAGATTCCCATTTTTGGGTATTTTAGGGTATTTAAAGAATACCCACAGAAATCCCAAATTTGGAAGAGTGAGACAAGTCCCAATCAGGGAACTTGGTTGGGAATTCCTTGGTTGGGATTTGTCTCACTTTGCAGAATTTGGGATTTTTATGGGTATTCTTTAAATACCCTAAATTATCCAAAAATGGGAATCCCTTATTTTTTCCTGTGAGGAAAGCAAAATGAGAAGAGCTTGTCCAAAGGACAAGATAGAGATGCAAGTTTTTTTCAAGCCCTAATAGTATATTATAAATACTATTACCATTAATGGATATTATTTGTTAATTAGCAGTATAGAAAAATTGACATAATGTAACGGCAATAATTTCCAAAGAATGCATCAACCTAATCTTGATCAACATCAAATATGTCTGCTAAATTGTTTACGATAAAGATAACTGGACATGCTTTTGTAAATAAAGTACAATTTACAGAACAAAAGATCAATGTATGCACCAAATGAAATCTCAATAAAACTTCAACATGAGCAAAGTCATTTTCCCTAAGTGACTCAAAATTTCCTATGTTTAACAAAATCAACTTATTCAAGATCAGGGCCCAGTTGTTCGAACGCCGGTTAGCGCTAGCCCGGGGTTAAATTTTAACCCGGGTTTCTTTATCTTTTTATCTAAAGCACTTTCTCGGATAATTTTCTCTATTCTCTTTAGAATATCCAATCATCAAATTGAATAAAAAGAGAATTAAACTAAATTTGCTTTTTAAGCTCTCATGTCTGAGTTCAAATTTCGCACTAACCCAGGGTTATCTTAACCCAGCTTTGAACAACCCGACCCAGCTCAATAACAGCAAGATTAAAACTATCAATAGTAAACAACTATCCTCCGAAAGGGAGGTGAGTATAGTGGTGGTATTTGCCGAGACGCAAGGCGTCAAGGTATATACATGTATCTAGTGCAATTAATGCAATGACCCTGTGGAGGACACTGTAAACTGTTGCTTATAAGCCCTGGGCTTATACATCTTCGTAAGGAAGTAGTTTTAGGAGGACTTATAAACAGAGGGGCTTTATATTCAAGGGGGCTTATAAGAAGAATAGAAATAGTGCTTCAAGAAAAGCTATCGCAGTTCTGATCAAAATATGTTTTGCAATCACTGGATCNCTTAACCCAGCTTTGAACAACCCGACCCAGCTCAATAACAGCAAGATTAAAACTATCAATAGTAAACAACTATCCTCCGAAAGGGAGGTGAGTATAGTGGTGGTATTTGCCGAGACGCAAGGCGTCAAGGTATATACATGTATCTAGTGCAATTAATGCAATGACCCTGTGGAGGACACTGTAAACTGTTGCTTATAAGCCCTGGGCTTATACATCTTCGTAAGGAAGTAGTTTTAGGAGGACTTATAAACAGAGGGGCTTTATATTCAAGGGGGCTTATAAGAAGAATAGAAATAGTGCTTCAAGAAAAGCTATCGCAGTTCTGATCAAAATATGTTTTGCAATCACTGGATCTTCAAAACGTCACAATAAATCAAATTTGGAGGAAGGCTTATCTCCTGGGGGTGGGGAGACTTATTCGTTGTTTTTTTTAAACAAGTAGATGGGCCTATAACTGGGGGGGAGGCTTATAAGTGGCAATTTACAGTAGCAGCTTTTAGTATTTACCAATAATCAGTTGGATTATAATGAAAAAGAAATTTTTTGTAAGTAATTAAAAAGATGTCACTTAGTAAGAGCTTTGTGTGCTTCAGGGATTTTATTTAGTGCATTTTTTTTCGATTTTGCTGCAATGTTTATAGTTATAGAAAATAATTTTCCACCTACCAGTAAACACTGAAATGTCAAATTTAAATGCTTTCTTGGTATTTGGTGGTGCAGCTGCCTCATTTATATCGCTAAAATTTCGTCTTCCAAAACTGATGTGAAGCGATTTTGACTTCTGTCCCAAAACAGTGAATAACCAAGGGTATTCAGAGCTGACTAAGGGATGCAATCAATAAGCACAAAAAATGGCTACCCACTGATTTGGTAAATACTAATAATTTTTATGGATATAATAAGATCAGCTCAATAACAAAAAGATACAATACGAGGCACCCAATGAGAATATTAAGTTCAAAACCACTTAAACATAGCATTGTTAAACGTACTTTAGTATTTAAACGGTAGATATCTCTAGAGGCATATTTTTATCCCCTAAAAATTTTTTATCTGTTCCGATTTCCTAGCTGAAGGTCTAGTGATTTGAAAATTATAGGGATCAAAACTTACCTTTTCGAAAATTTCAGCCAGAAAAAAGGCCCCCGGAAATTCTAGGTGACCTTATTAGGGTAAAAATCCGTTAAAAATGGGCAATTATACCATTTCTTATATGTTCGAAAACCCTAGGAGAGGCAGGCAAACAAGAAATTTTACAACAAATGTTCCAAAAATTCTAGATCTCAAATCGTCTCCTGAACAGATATTTTCCGAAAACTGACATTGGGTGCCCCCATACAATCAGCATCAATTATTAATGCTTGTATCTTGTTGTTATTGAGCTGATCTTATTCCTTAGGGCTTGCTTTATGGCAGCTTCTTTCCCTCCCAAGGTCACAGTGTAATCTGAAATAATAACAGCAAAAAATTTGATTCAGGTAATGTCTCTGTTTTGTTTATGGGATTAAAGAGCTACTTAGTAGATTAGCTAGACTTAAGTTAACTGAAGTAAGAACAACCAGACAAATTACGCATGAATACTTAGGGTCATTTATTTAAAAAGAGTTTCACCAGTGTTTAACAAAACCACGTTGTAAAAAGCCATTTTCAGTTTTCCCAACACTTTTATCTTAATTAATGCATCATTTAGTTAATTCACTATGAAAAGTTTCATGAAACCATAAGGCATAGACTATGGAAGAGCTCTGAGATTGCAAGATTTGTTAAACCCACGTCCCAAGTTAGACTTCGTTTAAATAACTGTCATGACCCTTAGTATTTGCAAGAGGGGATGGCCTACCTTTTAACTTGTAGCTACACGGAATTGAGGCTTTCAAATGGTCATCCATGCATATATTAAGTTGTATCATGTCAATCACTGAGCTCGAGCAGTTTAAGTGGACTTACACTGCTCAAGCTCAGTGACTGACATGATACAACTTAATAAATGCATACACAACCATTTGAAAGCCTCAATTCTGAGTGGCTACATTAAAGTTAAAAGGTAGGTGAACGAAAACAAACACCACAATGCACTGCAGCAGCAGAACACCTAGGCTTTAAAAGCAATGCACTGCAGCGACAACATGACAAGCTTAAAGTGACTGTGCCTCTAAGTAAAGAGGCTGCAGTCAACGGCAAACACAGAAACCTTCAAAATTGTCCTAAATGCAGTGAAACTAGTGTTAAGCAGACACCCAAGGGTACTGCTCTATTTATTTTAATTAGTGCACCCTCTTGACAGACGTGTCTGTGTTGTTTAATTCAGGTTTATTTTAGAGAAGATATGGAAAGAAAAGTATATATTAATTTACTGTATATGCTTGTTTCCGCTTAAAAAGGGTGTCGACTACAGGTTTTCACTGTATCACTTCAGAGCCAAAATGATAACAATAACACTAGACAAGGTAATTCTTCGTTTATCTAGCATCAATCCATACATACATATATTTAATGAGACAATCAATCCATGCAAACATATAATTATTTAGTGAGACATTCATTGTTATATACTAATTAAATTAATGGTTGCACAAACGGATTGTATGGGGGCCTCCTTGTGGTTAAGTAAGATGTTTTAACAAGTAACATTTAATTTGGTATAAAAGCAATGAAGATTGAGGTTAAAGATCTGAGTTCTAAAGCTTTCTTTGCTCACATTCTCACAAACTGTACATTAGTGCATAAAACTTTCTGATTCTATAACATTACAATCGTAAGCATCCAGAAGTTATCCTATTACACTCAGAGGAACTAGATAACTGAGTGGAGCAACCAAAAAAGCAAGCATTTTAATTCTTACTAAAGGTGAAGTAAATCCTTTTCACATATTATATTTCTTTACATACATTCATGTACTTACCCACAATAGAAGAAAGGATATCAGGATTGACCGCCTCCCTGGCGTTTGCCCCAGTGAGGTTTTTGCTGACAAGTTCTTCATTTTTGTAGAAGCAGCTCAGTAAAACGCAAGCCGCTGATGTCGGACTGAGCTTGCAAGATTGCCTTGAANGTAAGATGTTTTAACAAGTAACATTTAATTTGGTATAAAAGCAATGAAGATTGAGGTTAAAGATCTGAGTTCTAAAGCTTTCTTTGCTCACATTCTCACAAACTGTACATTAGTGCATAAAACTTTCTGATTCTATAACATTACAATCGTAAGCATCCAGAAGTTATCCTATTACACTCAGAGGAACTAGATAACTGAGTGGAGCAACCAAAAAAGCAAGCATTTTAATTCTTACTAAAGGTGAAGTAAATCCTTTTCACATATTATATTTCTTTACATACATTCATGTACTTACCCACAATAGAAGAAAGGATATCAGGATTGACCGCCTCCCTGGCGTTTGCCCCAGTGAGGTTTTTGCTGACAAGTTCTTCATTTTTGTAGAAGCAGCTCAGTAAAACGCAAGCCGCTGATGTCGGACTGAGCTTGCAAGATTGCCTTGAAAAATGTAAACCCCTTTCCCTTTTGATAATTCAATCATCTGAAAAACAATTCCAAATTTTACAAGTAGTGAGTTAAATCAATTTAGTTTATCTGAAGGAAAACTATAATATCAATGCTTTTTCTTAATACAGAGAAAAGGCAAGTTAAAAGTGTGGGCCCACCAAGCTGTGATGTAAGCACTCACATTGTCACATAACAGGGAGAAAGATAATTTTCACATTTCCTTGTCTTTTAAACATATTAGTGCACAAAACACAAACCAAAAGGTTTAACAAGGCCTTCCTTTATTTTCCCAAGTCATAGCATTTGCCTTAACCAAGAGAATCAAAAAATAATCGTGTCGTTATCAGTGGCATCTGTGTTAGTATCCTAGAGATGTACTGTACAGATGCAAAAAAGCTGCTCTTGGAATCTGTTTTATGGCCAACCACCTTTTAAAAGTGAGATCTGGTGTAATGAAATATGACACTTCTCTTAAAAATTCACAGAAAGGAAAAAGAAATGATCACCCAAATATTAGAGATACAGTAGCGAGGGCAGATCACTATTCTCAAAAGTAGCAGGTGTTTTACCTTAAAGCGCTCGGCAACAGCTTGTGGCAGCTTTCCAGGTCTGGGTTGTTGCTCATATTGCCCTTCAACTAAAAGCAAAAGATTAAAAGAAAAGTTAAGGGCCAGTTCCTACGTGAAAAATGTTGATAACTTCTTATATCAAGTAAAACATTGAATTATTTAAGGAGAGAGCATATTAAGTGCTCACTGGATTACCATAGATTATAGACTTTTAAACTCTATTTGTTACAGTGGTGTATTGGTTGAGACCTGAAGGCCAGGGCCCGCAAATTTTGGGTTTGATCACTCTGCCGCTTGGAATAAATTATGCGTTGTTGGAGTGAGCTAAAAAGCTTAAGTCAGTTGGTGAGGTCACTGCTTTCTAGTAATGCGTGCAATTCATTTCAGGATATGTGGAAATAAAAGTCAGCCAGGCCTACAACTAGTCGAAAAGCTGGCTAGGCCCCTAATTGCTTGCTGATCATGAGGACAGACTGATAAAACACTAACGTCAATTTGTTACACCCAGTCCATTAATATGTGTCATTAATAACGCAGTCTCTCTTTGCAAACAAAGGGGGAAATGCCTTAAAGCTGTCAAGGGAAGCTAATCTTTGTCGAGGTTTGTCTGTGGATGGATTCTCAGATTCTTTGTTCCCTAATCCCAACTTGTTCAATAATCATATCAAGATAGTTGTTAATACCTTGGGCTTTTAGCTGAGCAATTTCAGCATCTTTCCTTAGAATGAGTTGCTTATATTCATCACATTTTGCACAGGCATTCTCATCTTCAGACAGAGGCTGAAATGAGGCCCGAGGCCTTTTCCCCCCTACAGCTGGTCTTGTGGCATCTAGTTGAATGCTGAGATTTTTCCAACTACGCGGTCTTTTCCCACCAACTGTACTTCTTGGTGTCTGGCTGGTATCACTGTTCTGGTAAGTCGACTGCCTAGGCTGGAAAGGGTGCCTGGAACTGCAGGTGGATGCCTGCATACTACTGGAGTGCAGTGCAAGTGTGGGTGAAGGAGAGTAGGTTGATGCTTGAGTGGGGTGCAGTGCAAGTGTGGATTTAGCAGAGTTAACAACATTGGTTGCTGATTGATCAAGGTGGCTTGCTCTTGAAGGGGTATCATTTAGGTACTCATCTGAGATAAGAGAAACAATGTCATTGCCATTGAAGCAGTCATCAAGGTCTTGTTCTAAAATGACTGGATCCTCTTCATCTGATAAAAGTAATTCGCTGCCTTCACTGCATTCTTCACTTGATCTTAAATGGCTTGCGAAAGTGGCCATTTTAGAAAGAACTCTGTTATCGCGTTCCATCAATGCAGTTCTTTCTTTTTCTTTTTGGGCCTTTTCCCTTGCCTTCTCTTCCTTTGCTTTTTCTTTGTCTGCTTGTTTTTTCTGTCTTTCAGCTTTCTTTTTTGCCATTTCTTCTTTGTTAACTTTATTTGCATGCACGTCTCTTTCCTCTGTGACTTTGTCTTTATTCTCCTTCTCTCTATTTTTCTTCTCCTTCATATGTTTCCCTGCAGTTTTCTTTTTTGTCTGTTTGGCTGGTTTTTGCAGTTGTAACATGGCTGCCTTTCTTCTCATCACTTCCTCTTTGTCACCTGAACGTTACAAACATGTAATCAAATGCAAATAAAGATTAAACAGGAGGTTGTTGTTGTTGTGGTTTTTTCATATTTGCTCTTGTTTTAGGCATCCCTACTGAGGAACAGTTCACGACACGTAGATATATTTTTTAGCAACGACGATGATTTGCAGTATGTCCACTTTGAATACATATATGTTTTATTCACCGGCTGGGTGGTCCGTATCGGTAGAAACTGTGCCCGAGGTGTTGAATACCTAGTACTCAGACTGAGGACACAGTTTCTTCTGATAAAACGAGCTAATTACACATACCAATCTTAAGGTTTTGAAGTGAATTCGAATAAAAGAAGGCGACCTGGGTAACTAGACAATTATATAAACAAAGAAATAAAAATGGCCGTAACTGACTGCTGGAAAAGTTCTTCGTGTTGTTTATTCAAGATTGAACATGGCCAGAATTTAATTTCACGCACGCGCGGTAGCAGTAGACACTTAGAAAATATTCCAACAGAAAACAATGAAAATTTTACAAAGAAACGTGGGATAAGTAAATACTTTGCGATACAATTACTAGCTTGAACATCTAACTGTTTGAATCATCCGAGCGAAAAAGCTTACAGTGTAGGTTATAGGTCGCTTAATAGAGACCTTTAGATTCTAAAACCCCATTTACACGTGCTAAAAAATCAGCACGGCACGCCAAATTTTTGGCACTGTGCCTCGTTTACCCGTGCCCAGACTAAATCCCGGAGGTAGTCTCGGCACGTCGAAAATTGGGAGTGCCGTGCCTTAAAATCGCCAGCACGGTGCCAAAAATTTGGCGTGCCGTGCCGATTTTTTAGCGCGTGTAAATGGGGTTTAAGACGGGAAGGACTACGAGTACGAGATTTTAGTGCTCGCGCGTGAGGCAGCGTTATTTTGGCGGGAAAACATTGTAGCCGTCGTCATTCTACTGCGAGTTTTAGCGAGAATGTCGTAGTGGCGAAAACAAGTTATCAAATGTTAAAAGTTTTAGCATTTTGCAATCTGGAGAGGACTCAACCTCCTTCAACAATGATAATAGTGCTAACTTTGCTGGTGAAAAAAGTACAATGAAGATCCGCGGTGTCTATTTTTAGGTTTACGAACAGAAAAACAAGTTCAAAATTTGTTTGGAAAAGTTTCGAGGTTATTGCAAAAAGCGCCAAATTCAGGGCGTTTAAAAAAAGACTTGAAATAATAACTATAATAACTTCAATCCCAAAGGCTTGGCTTTCGTTACTTTCAGGGGACCGTAGCTTTATAGATGCAAAAAATAATTGAATGCATGGACAAAATGACGAGTTTACACGACAACGTGACGAATGTATACGCCAAATGTAGAATGTAGAACGAGAAAAAAAACATGAGGGATCTGTTAAGTTACGTTCTGTATTGTTCTCGCTTGAATCTACGGTAAATTACCTAAAATCCGAAAAACTACAAAGAAACGTCCCGACAGCGAAATTCATGGTTCGTGGCTAAAAGATGTTTTTAGAAATAGCCGGTATTTGCACTTCATTCATTCTTTGTTTTTGAACACACAACATTATTTTTTTCGTCGTTTTGCTCGCGCACTTACTTGTCTTTCTCTTTAGAACGACGGTCCCCTAAAAGGAACGGAGGCCAAAGGCTTAAAAGTATTGTTCTGTCTTTTGTTTTCTTCTAACAATAGATCTATGTATGCATAATTAATGTATGGGCTTCTACGGAAATCTTGCCGTTGCAGTCTTTTGAAAATCGACCTTGCACCGCCTGGCGCAGTTTGAACGAAACGTGTTAAATAAAATGACTAGAAAAGTATCACCAACATTGATCCTCGAGTCGTGTAGGAGCCTTGTTTGACCTCCGCAGAACATTATCTTTTCCCTTTTTCGACATTATGGCGAGAGAATTCGTTCTTTTTGAAAAGTGGCTAACAACGAACGAACCGTCGAAAGACCTTTGAAATGATCTTTGTTCCCTCTTTCGCGCTCAAAATGGGGCATAAAGGCATCATGGGGTTAACGGAGAAGGTCATGCGCAAGATTCAGTAGCGTTGCATTATGGGCAAATTTATATTCCAGCATTGCATGCTCGGACCACTTTCAACAGCACCACACCACGGAAATGGCAGACGAAGGTGGTAGGAAACGAAGAGGTCCACATTTACAGTATTTATCTGATTCCTCTGATCGCGTTGTTCCACGAACAACAAGATATAGATGGGATAAAAAAGTGAGAGTAGCAGGCGACAGCCAGGAGTGTGGATTAGAAAGAATCAATTCTGAAAATCAAAGTGACTTTACTAGTCTAAATCCAGAAACGGAGCTTTCTGATGACGATGGTTCGACGGCCTTTGGCTGTCATTTTCCTGAACAGGATTCTTCCTATTGCTCTACAGAAGTGGATAGTGTTGAACCTACCTGGTTTGCCAACGAAGGTGGTGAATTTGTAACTGTTTATAGATTCGAAGAATTTATGTCTATGACAGAGGAACCGGCGCTACTTACTGATGGCCGCCAAATGTGGATGATTATGAAATGTCATTTGCCGATGATTTCCATGATGATACTGAAATATGTTATGAGGAAGAGATTGATAAAACGAACGCTAATGAACAAAATGCATCCCACGAATCAAGTCATGATGAATACAATCAACCTCTCTATCCTGGATGCCGTCTGTCCCTTGAGATAAGCATGCTGCTTGTAGTGACGTTTTGTATCAGACATGCCCTTTCTGGGGTCGCCCTTGCAGATTTGCTAACTTTAATAGAGTTGCACTGCCTTTTGCCAAATCATTTTGCCAAATCAACAAAGTTGCTCCGTGACTTTTTTGGGCAACTGAAGAGCCCCATAGAATTCCATTACTACTGTTCCTTTTGCTTTTGAACACGGAAACCAAAGTGCTGTTCAAATGCAGCCTGCCTGTGTGACTTTGAGAAGAAGAGATCAGACCTCCGGTACTTTATTGTTATACCTTTTGTGATTCAGTTACAAGCAATAATTCAAGGTAAGTTGAGGTTTAATTCAAAATATGAAACCATTTATAATACATATTCCGAATTCAATATAACATGTATTTTTCCCTTGTGCAAAGGAGCGTTAAAATTCTTGATTGAGCGAATGTTGGGGTAAATTAAGCTACAGAATGCACGGCCACTAATATTTCCACATCATTGAATAACAAAAGCATTGATTTTGGTACGCCCCGTTCTCCAAAGCCTTCCGACAGGATGGTCCTGAGTGGCCCTGAATTAAATAAGCTATAGAAATACTTTGTTTTTCCAACACACTCAATTTTGTTGGATTTTGACATACCAAAGCACCTGAAATCACGAGGAAGTTGCCAATGGGTCATTCTCTAGAGAATCTTGCTCTTTACACAAGTCATATTTCAGTCATTATTTGAGCAGAGGTATGATCTTACATGAACTTCAGGGTTCCATAAGCATTAATTGATGAGAACCATGTTGCTGTATGCAGCTGTAAAAGTGTCATTATGATTTATCCACATTCCTGGATAAAAGTGCAAAATAATGCTTGATTTCTTAATCCTGTTGAGAAAGCGTTTGTGTAACTGTTATGAGATCATAACATCCAGCAGTCTTATTTTCATTCATAGGTATGGAGGATGCAGTTGATGAAATGCTTAATTACCGAATATACAGAAAGAAGAAGTGTGAGCAGAATGTTGAAGATATTTTTGATGGTGAACTATACAACAAGCACTTTGATTGCAAAGGCTTTTTCCATGGGACGTCCACTACTGCAAGGGAAAAGGAAATCCACTTATCCTTGATGATGAACGCTGATGGTGTATCAATTTTCCGTTCATCAAACTCTGGCTTATGGCCAGTTTACTTTGTCATAAATGAGTTGCCACCAGAAGAGAGGTATTGAGGTCATTTTATTTTTAAGTAGATATGGTTTATTAATTGCTCAGGAGATAGTAATAATTTTGACAGGATCTAAAGCAAAGGTTGTTTGCAACTTGAAAGAATATGATTCAGTATCACTATGGCTCTTTGATCACTACTTTGTGACTAAAAGTTTTGGCCATTGTCAAATGAAAAAATAACAGTGGAGTACAAAATTTATGTTTTGGAGTATATTTGTCTTTTTAACCATGTGTAATAATTACACATGGTCAGTTGGCCCAGGGGTATTCTTGGTTTTCATGTGATGTAATCAAAATGAAGAGTTAAGAATTATCAGTCCATCTTAGCTTTTCAGTTGGTGAGACAAAACAAAAACTGTACAAATTTGGGTTAAAGATTTCTTCAAATATCTCGCACACAAAGAACTAGAACTGCACAGTTCTGATACTTGGCAAGAAGGTTTGTATGTGTATCTTCTCCTCTCCCTTCAATTCTTAACTTTATTCATTGATTTTTTATTTCGTGTAAGGTAACAGTGAAAACCAAGAATAAGTTTTTAATCATATAATAAAAGTCAAACAAAATTGCAGGAGGTCCATGGCAAATCCATGCAAGACTTCTTTATTATGGGGATAAATATAATTCCAATTTGCACAAGAAAAGATTCTAGGATTTGTGAGCCACATGTATTGATGTTTTGTTTCAAAAGCTGAACATTATTTACATATGTATTACCATTCTTTCTATTGTTACTCTCTTAGGTTCAGCAGTAAATACCGCTTGTTTGCTGGTTTATGGTTTGGTCGCAAGAAGCCAGATTTTCGTACCTTTTTGCAGCCATTTGCAAGTTCTCTTCATACACTCTTCAATGAAGGTACTGTATATTGCACATTTAGTAACTCATGTGATTTTTAATTAAAGATACAGTTATAACCTTGAACTACAACTAAACTGGCATCAAGACACTTGAAAGCCCAGAACTGTAACTGAAGGTGGAATAGAGCAATCTTGATATTTATCAGTCTATAGATTCTTGGCTCCAAGGCTTGTGGTGTTAAATCTTCTTCGTTTATTTTAATAATATTACTATAAGCCTAAGCCTTGAGTGTCAAGTATGAATTCTAATAATAAAAATGGTAACATGATATTAGTAAGGCCTAAAAAATGGTTTATGTCGATTATATTGTTTATTATTTATTTTAATTCAAACTAGTTTACAAAAATTCAAACCAAAAGAAAATTTTAAACTATAACATTTATTTCAGGTGAACTGGTCACATTCTCTGATGGCTCCACAAAGATTATACGTTGCATTCTTTTGTGTGGAACTTTTGACGCACCAGCAAAGTGTTTATTTTAGAACATGTCACAATACAATGGAGCCTTTGGATGCCCATATTGTCTTCATCGCGGTGAAACAGTAAAAACCAGTGAAAGAGGGCATACCAGAGCATACCCTTTTCATATAAAAGGCCGGCAAAATGATGAAAGGATACAAGAATCACACCTGACAGCCATGACTTTTGAGAGAAGAACTCATCAGCAAACCCTAAAATTTGCCAAAAAGGCTCATAGTCTCAGAGCCAGTGGTAAATCAAGTTCATCAGTTAAGGGTGTAAAAGGAATGACTTGGAGTATGCTTTTTTCAGGCTTTGATATTATCAATGGTGTTACCATTGATTATATGCATTGCATATTGCTTGGTATTACTAAAATGCTGTTGACACTTTGGACAGACAAATCCTATTCAGCTAATCCATGGCATGTTGGGTCAGACAAGTTGAAGAAACTGGAAGAAAGGTACTTAGCAATCAAGCCCCAAATGTGATAACCCGTACACCCAGAAGTTTGTTGAAGAATCTTGCACACTTTAAGGCATCAGAGCTACGTGCCTTTCTTCTCTACTATGCTGTTCCATGTCTATGGGGACTGTTGGAAGAAGATTATTTTCAACACCTCCTGCTCTTGGTAAATGCCATCTTCCTACTCTTACAGGATTCTATTTCACAGAGTGACATTGAAAAGAGTTCGTCACTTCTGCTACACTTCTGTACAAGGATGGAAGCTCTCTATGGTAGAAGATATGAGACGTACAATGTTCATATGCTTCTGCATCTCCCAGACTGTGTTAGGAAACTTGGTCCACCGTGGGGTACATCATGCTTCTGGTTTGAAGGATATAATGGTGATTTAAGCAAGCTATTTCATGGAACTCAAAATGTTGACATTCAAATAACCCACTCAGTTTGCATTCATCAAAAAATACCTGAACTAACCCCTCTGCTTCCTTCAGGATCTGCTGCAAAGAGCTTTTACAAACATCTCGTGGAGGGACGTTCCCTTCCAAGGTGTCGAGAGCAAATTGATGGAAAGGTTTATGCCATTGGAAGTTTTGAAAAGCTCCATTTAAACGGGCAAATTAAAATGCTTTTACAAGGACTGCTTGGGCCACTTTGCTATGTACAAAAATTCAAAAGGCTCTGGAAACATGGAACAATGTTTCAATGTGTTGAGTACCGGGCTACTACTAAGAGAAATAGCTACACAGTGGAGTTTAACAAGAGTGGCCATATGCAGTTTGGTGAAGTGCAATTCTATTTAAAATGTTTTCAGTCTTGTGAACATTCCTCTTCATCTCAGAGTGTCAGTACCTGCAATTGTGCAACAAATCAGTACCAGTACATTGCCATCATGGAGCTGTTAGAGTGTGATCAGGAAATCATCCTTTCAAAAGATAAATTTACAAGTGCCACTCTAGATCATATTTTTCCTGTTGTAAAAAAGAAAGGGTCATTGGTGGCAGCTTCTATCATGGATATTGTCTCAATGTGTGTTTCTGTCAACATTGGCAAATCCAGCTTTGTATGTAAACTTCCAAATAGATTTGAAAAGACTAAAGTAAGTTAATAAGGCAGTATCTTTAAACACAAGCAGGAACTTAGACTGACCTTGATAGGCTTGTAAAAATCTTCTTGCATGTGAACAAAATCGTGACATATCATTTTCTTTAGACACATAACAGGTCAACCTAATAATATTTTAGGATTTAGTGTGAAAACTAGCTATTTAATTGGTTCTTAATAACTAGTTTTTTTGGTTTTTCATGTTCACTACTGTACAGAAACTGCCCTGTAGGTGTACAGAAAAAGTGGACACTGTAGAGCTATAGTTTGACCATGAAAATGTATTCAAGAATTTATTACAAGTATTTAAGTGTATTAAAAATAATGTTACCTATACATTCAAAGTGGACAGACTGCAAATAATTATAGTTGCTAGAAATTTCTTAAAAGTTGTAACTGTTCATCAGTAAGATGCCTAAAATGTTTGCAAGTCCACAACTGTTTTCCTTTACCAATTGTAGAACATTAATAGGAGGAGCCACCCACAATGTGAGGCACAGTTACTGACACTATATATTCGCAAGGAAAAATGGTGAAAATAAAGCAGCTAAAACTTGAACTAACTGTACGGGTCAACTAAATAGGGAAAGCACGTGCTTCACATAATGGAGACTAGCATGCGCACAGCAACGTTACGTGTTGAAGGAAACACTTAGAAATTTTGAAGGAAAAAGTATAAACTTGGCAACAATCACACCGTGGCGGTTAAAAAATTTGGTCATTGACTTGAGGAGTAATTAGGCATATTTGGAGCCTTGTCGTTGGAGGTGTGATGAGAGTTGAAGGAGCCTGTGCACCTGACAAACTTTTTGAAGTAACTTAGAAGTAACTATTTGTTTCTCATTTCTGGCGTAATGAGTGATTCTGTTGATTCCATAACACCACAGTCTACCCCCTAATCAACTACAAATTCTTGTGAATGCAGTTTTACTGTTATCAAGCTGTTTTACAGCTATCAATGTATGTTTTAAGTATACTTTTTTCCTACTTTATTTGGATATCAACATAATGTGCTCTTAAGAAGTACATCTGAAGTAGACTTAAATCCTACTTGAGTAAAAAAAGAAATATGAGTATCAAACAAGAGTCTACTTAAAGTATACTTTGCAAGATTTGTCAAGTATACTTGAAGTACACTTGGAATTTGCAGTACAAATGAAGTATACTTATATCATACTTACTGATGATGTAGTATACTATTAGTATACTTAACGTATACTTCTCTGCTATCTTTTTTGGTAAGGGTTCTAATTTTCAAACGTCGACGAAATCATGTGGAAAGTTTCATCATTCCTAACCTCTACAGCTTCTTTAAACGATCTCAATCCAGCTTCAGTAGGACTTCTTAGTCTTTCGCTACTTTTTTCTTGACAAAAAGTACATTTTGTTAAGTCTGTTTCTGAATTGGGCTTCTTTTTTGGTGGCAGAAGCCTCACTTCGCTTTCTTCCTCACTGCTTTCAGTACAACTAGCCATTACCAATCATCTTTTTTTTCTGAATAACATTTATTTGGTTACAACACTTCTACTGACAATACTTACGTTTACATGGAGGGAAAATAAAAACAACGTAAAGAGAGAAAGGAAAAATATAATGTTACAGCATTTACAACTAATTAAGCCTAAAAAAGTTTTACAAATTTGACTACTATTTGCAAAATTGCAAAATAAAACACGGTACAACAAAAACGTAAGGAGTCTGTCCAACCAACTAAAAGGTGCTTTGCATTTGCATTTGTTTCTGCATCACTTTTAACTTTTGGAACTTTTGGAATTATTTAATAACAGCAAGTTTATTTGTCCGAGGGGCAAAGTTTAAGAGGGCTCCATTTGTTTTTGAAGGAAGACATTGTTATTATTAAAGGCAATCTCTTTTTCAATTTCCATGGAATTCATAACGGTTTGTATATAAACCTGTTGGGCAGAGTTGCAGTTATTTAACTTATATGTGTAAATATATCGTTTGGCGATAAAGAAAAGGTGATGTAGTAATAAATCAGAGATATTATCAATTAGTCCAAGACAGATATGAGGAGAGAAGGCAATGGATTTCGTTTAAGGTGGTGTTTTGAGTTATCCATTGATAAATGTCTTTCCAGAATTTTTGAGTGCAACTGTAATACCAGAACAAGTGGGTAAGGGTTTCAGTAAATTCCCCGCAGAAAGAACAGGAGTCTGCTTGTTTTAGGCCGATTTTAAAGAGGAAGTCGTTTGTTGCTATTCGTCTGTGGAGGAACATGAATTCGAACACTCGTAACTTTGTTTCTGTTGTACACAGAAAGGGGAGGCGGTATGTATTCTCCCAGTTCACGTTCGTATTTCCTATAATATTTTCCTTAGACAGACATTTTCCCTGGCTTTTAAGAGGGGTGGTGGCCTTTTTTCGATAATTGATTTGTAAACGGTCTTACAGGCTTTTTCTGAGGTTAATGATGTTTGCCCAAAGGTCTTGGTTTTGGGTCCTCTGTTGGGTTGTTGAGAACACTTTTGCCTGAACAGTTTAAGGGCTGATACTACCTTATAGAATTCTAGAAAGTTAGTCTTGATTTTATATTTCGAAGTAAATGCAGTATAGCTTAATATGGAATTTCTGTCCGTATCAAGGATGTCTTTAACATCTTTCACACCTGCAGTGAACCAAGATTTATAGAAAATTGGTTTGTTCTCTATTCTTATGAGGGAGTTGTGCCAGATCTGAGCTGACGTGAAATCTAGATTGTTGTCCTTATAATTTAGGGTCGTCCAATATTCCATAATCTCAACTGAAAACGGTCTCGTAGATTAAGTAAACGAACGTCTTTAGGGCATAAGTTTCCCCATAAAACTAATTTCCCTCCGAATTGTTCTAGTGGATGATTGAAAAAAAGCTTCCATTTCCCTGTATCTTGATCATCTAGATAGCTTTTAACCCATTTCATTTTTAAGGCCTGGTTAAAACTAGCAATATCGATCATCTTTAGCCCTCCCTTACTGTAATCGTTGATCATTTCTATTCTTTTTATTTTGTCCTCTTTATTGCCCCAAGGAAAATAGTATAATAGAGCGTTAATTTCCTTTATGACCCCTTTCGGTGTCGGAAGGGAGGACAAAACGTAAACAATCTGAGATACTGCTAGAGGTTTGAGAATGGCAATTCTACCCATAAGTGCGAGTCTTCTGGCCGGCCAGCCCCCGAAGATTTTTTTAATCTTTTCTATTTTCTCAGTGAAATTATTGTCAACATTGGCTGGCCTCGATGTCGAGAACCAAACTCCTAAGGCGTAGACCTTTCCCTCTGCCCAAAAAATAGGTTTGCTCGAAGGCATAACAGCATTAGTATTCTTGTGTGAACCTATCCAGAAGGCTTCAGTTTTCTCATAGTTGCTTTCAAACCTGATATATTTGCAAATATGTCTAGTACGTATAATGCTCTCGAAAAAGAGCGTTCTGAGCCATTTAAGATCATTGTTGTGTCATCAATGCCATCAATGCCATCCATTGTCATCAATGCCATCCATTGTTAAGGACACAGCTACTTATTTTCGTATAAAAATGTTTAACCCGGCTTACCAAGGATGTTTCAAAGTTAAAGTGTCTGAGTGTTTTCTCTATAAAAGACTACTCTATACTATCGAAGGCTTTTTCAAAATGTACAAATAACAAAAGGCCCGGGATTTTTTCCATATTTGTGTGGTTAATAATACTCTCAATAAGTCTTATATTTTATCCTATAAATCTGTTTTTCAAAAAACCGGTTTGATCGTTATTTATTATGTTCGGCAAACATTTCGCTATGCGGTTTGCTGTGGATTTAGCTGCGATCTTGTAGTCGCAATTGAGAAGAGTTATAGGTCTCCAGTTCTTTAAAAGGTTAGCCGGTTTGTTTTTTGTGTTTTTCAGTAAGAGGGTAATTAGATCTCTTCTTTGAGAAATTGATAAACAATGTTTATCATATGCACCATTTAGTGCATTAAGGTCTCGGTAAAGGAAAACTAGGTGTCCACAGAAAAAAAATTATAGTCGCGCGAGTATTTTCGCTACAAAGGCAAGTTATGTATCAAATTAAAGCTAAAATACTAAATCACCTTATAAAAGATTTTATTTCATCGAATTTCAAAAGGCGCTTAAGTTTTCTGCTCTCGAACTCGAGGTATCGAGTTTACTGCTGAAGCTCTAGCCCTTTCGCGTTGTTAAACATTCACTTCCTTTTTATTGCATCTGATTGACAGATAAAAGACCTAATCAAAGAAAGACTATCGTCAACTCGTGGGTACGTTGTACGTTGCTCTGGTTTTCCCACAGTGAATTTTAGGAAATGATATAAATTCAGATTATAAATATACTATCCTTGTTCTGGAAACACAATACTTTTCTTGCTGTTTATTGCACTTTAGTAACAGTTATTTAAGTATATATTTAAAAACAAAACAAAAAAACCCAGCAAAACAAATAAGCAAACAAGACAAAACAAAAAAGAAAAAAAAAAAGGAAGAAGGGAAAAAGAAGGCCCTTAGCAGAATCTGAACCTGGTACCTTCGGGTAGACCCGACCTCACATAGCCACTACGCCATTGAGGATGGTCACATGATTCGGCGAAAAGTCTCAAGTTTAATGCCTTTTCCATGGAACGTCCGCCGGAAAACGACTGGGGCAAACGATCGAGCCATACTTTCAAAAACTGCTCGAAGCAATCGGATGAAATTAAGTCTAATTGAAACCAGGCTACTGACAGTAAAAAACAATGTAAATGCATTTCATGGCAATGAAAGAACATATGCGATACAAAGCCGACACAACTCCTCCGCGAAGTAGGACGCAAAACATTGGCTTATGTTTTCTCATCTCGATTTCCGCTGTTATTTTAAAGGTAATGCTCAAACTCACATCCATTTCCCCCGTGATCTTGGGGAGTCCTTAAGAAGAAGAAGAAGAAGAAGAAGTGCCTTTATTTACCATACATTTCACCAGTCCGTATTTTATAGTCCGTATTTTATACCCAGTCCGCAGTCCGTAGTCCGCAGTCCGTGTTTTACACTAACCGCTATAAATTCGTTCATACACATAACCTACTACACTACTACAAGGTAGGAGATCAAGCCAGCGTCGAAGTTGAAGGAGTCGAAGAGCAAATGCTCATCTTCTCGTCAAGTTTAACGCCTGGACGGGTCAAAGGCTTTTGAATCGTACTAATTTGAAAGATTCCGGCGTGTCTTAAATTTGGTAAGACCTCTATCCTAACCGTGCTGTAGCGCACGACGCACGCTCTCAGCGAGGAATTTGATGCTACCGAACTTCGGCGAGCGCGTCCTTCTTTGGAAACGATAGATCTTCGCGCTCTCGAGTTCGGACCCGATTAATTACGAAGTGCGTCTACTACGAGTGAGCGAGGGACTCATTTGCATATCTCTGTCCCTGCAATAACTCGTGGTACGCTCGCGCGTACCCACGAGTTAAAAAAGGGTGTGAGGAAATTTGCGTATGTCTCGTATTAGCGGAATTATTGCATTTTAAACTAAAAAGTCGAATCTCAAGCGCGATTTACGCAAAGAAACTGACATAAAATGAGTTACAGAGGGAAATCGGAAATTTCTCACACCCTTTTTGAGTCTATATCATTATCCATCATATCTGAAAGTTTCAAAGCGATAGCTTAAAAACCGTCCCGACTGGAGGTCGGAGAATTTTGATTTTTGCGTCTAAAATAGAGTGAGAGAAAATCAGCTCTAAAGATTTAGCGCGAGGTCCACGTTTGGCTGGTTAGCTCTGCCCCCACTTGAACCTTAATTAACTCTAGCTAATCAGCTTCCGCGCAAGTAACAGAGGAATTAGTCATGGTCATAGTTGTTCGTTTGTGCGGGATTACGCGGGAAGTTTTGTTAACACTTCGGCTTGGTGAAAGGTGAAATAGTCGGTAGCAAGCAATCCCTTCTTCTTAGCGATGGGGAAAGTTAAACCTACAAAGAGAAAATCGCGTAAGGGGAAGAAGAAAGAGACAGCAGAGGTTCCTATTGAAAAGACGGAAGCCAAGCGCCTCATGTTACGGGAAATTCGTGAGGAAGGGTATGTAATCTTAGCGTTTCAGCCTGGACTCAATCGCGGTGCAATCGTGCAGATTACGCTCGAAAAAAAACATTTTAAATAATGTGACTCCAAAATCAATCTGCTCGATTATCTTAAAGGAACTGTAGTGACAAGGAAATGCAGAGGATAATGAAATCATTGTTGGTTATCAGGCCTGTAGGACTACGCAAATGTCAAACCGCCACGTGGATACTCATGCATTTTACGTGCAAGTCGTGGCATGCCTGATAAAAATAAAAATTATATATTTATCCTAATATTTATGCGAGTTATGCACAGGATCCTGGAGTGAACCGAATGAATTTTCTAAGGATGAACCCTTTCTTTTACTTGTTATTTCCAGATAGCTGGAATTGCAGTTTGATCTACTGTTTTGTTACTAGATATGACGGGGAATTTTTCGCCGATAACTTGGAGACAAAGATGGCAGATCGCATGAAGCGGGGAAAGCTTCCACGCAGGATACGCTATCTTGAGTATTGTCATTGGGCGCACTCTCTCATGGTAGGTTGGAAGGATGGACGCTTACTCTGCAAGGGGAATGTAAAACGTCTTATGAATTCTTAGTGGAAAGCCTTTGTAGCTTGTAAACAGGTAAACATTTCTGGCGCAGGCTAATGATTCAATATATTTATTGTACAGATCTAAGCAAAACAGAAAAGCCTTTTTCATTGTTTTACCACAGTTCTAATGACTTATTTTGATTTATCTAGCGTAAAGAAATTGGCCCAAGCGATGCTCAATTCAGCTTCTCGAGCACAGTGCTAAGCTTCATTAGGGCGCTTATCCCTGGTGAGGAGGTGGGGAAGATTCGAGAGGTAAGAATACATAAGAAACATAGTTTAGTTTTAACTGCAGCATTTAATATTTATTTTCATATTCCAGGATGCTTTTCAAGTCAGCATGAAAGACTTCTGTACTGCCTTGGAACTACCTACAGCTCAAGAACAGGTAGCTGAAAACATTTTTTGTAGAAATTTAATAAAGCATTACATTTCTTTTCAATCTCAGTTTCTGATTGTTATGTACATAGAACAAAAGTCACTTAATAATGTTACTGTATAGTCAATGTTATTCGTCGTACAGAATGTAATTCGTAAACTACTTCAATATGCCATGCTAAGCAGAAATTGTATCAAGCCTTCACCAATGAGGGAATTTTCCTGAGGACCCCACCCCAAAGGACTTTTATGGAAAAATAGAATGTTTACTCTTGGAAAATGGTGGGGATCTAGATTTTCTCCCCCTAAAATTACACATTACCCGAAAACATTTTCAATAATGAAACTTTTGCTGAATGGGCTCTGAAATTACACGTTACTGTTATAACCATGTTCATGATTCATCTTCAAAAATGGCCTTGGCCTGTCTGATACACACTAGTGAATGGTCTCAAAGTTGTCAAAAATCAAACATCTGCAAAATATATTTTCAATGTGCACTGAATGTTAGTAAAATAAGCTGTGATTGCACTGTACACATTTCCTGGAGATTACACTGGCTATATGGCACAGGTACGAGTACTGAAAGAGGTACTGTACATCATACCCTCATTGGCTGTTTTCTGAAAATAGAAATCCTTTCATTTGTTTACAAAAGTTATTAAAGTAAAGGATTCTGAAATAAGCTAGACTGCTGTAGACAGCTGGATGATTGTGGTCACAAACTTGGTCATTGCTAGGTCATGGCAAGATTTCTTAGTGCTTCCCTTCTTGGAAGTTGCTTTCTTGGCTTTTGGCTTCTTGCCAGTTTGATGAAATGCCTGGGATTTGTACATAACCCCTTCAGCTCTTACAAAAGCATCTTGCTTCTTTACTTTGGATCTCTTTAGCTTGTTCCTCTTGATCTTTACTTCCTCTGATGACTGATACTCGGCAGTGTTCACCTGTTCCTTGTCTAGCTTTTTCCAGGCCTCGACTTGCTCTTCGGGTGGTACTAATCCAATCTTGGGGAAGAGCTTCATGTATGTGCTGGCATAGCCACGGTTAAACAACAATACTCCTAAGTTAGTGGCAATGTCAATCTCTGCAGGTGAATTATATTGTTCCTTGGGAGCCAGACTCCAGATCACGTGGTGCAACGACTCATTTTGGTTTTGTGTAAGACACTGTTCGCAGCCTGCTAAAAATCTTTCATCACCCAAGGAGTCAAAGATGGGTTGAATAGCATCTACGATCGCTGGTGTCAAAGGGTGTTTATATGGGCGGTGCAACTCTATTCCATTGGCAATGTCACGCTGGAGGGAACACCATGAAGACTTCCCAGTAGGACAATCACTGTGGTTGGGGTTTTCTAGAGTGCTCGAGCAATGCTTTCATATGGCATGTGTAGCCTTGGACATTGCCTTGGCATCTCCCTTGTTTCGGATGGCCTGTCCATACCAGCCTTGCATGCTGTCGATTCTCTTGGTTGTCAGGCCACCAACGCCACCTAGTCCCTTTCGACCATCAGCAAGCTTTTTGCCTAAAATGCAGACATCACAAAACGAACCTCAAATAAAACAGCTGTTTTTTTTTTCAGAGGGGGTGGGGGGTGGGTTAGTGGTCAGTGCCACCTTTTTTGTGGGAGGTTTTCCCATCTAGTTATTGTAATTTTCAAAGCATGCTTTTTTCATCTCTGGACCTCAGGTCTGAGTCCCCCCTGGGAAACATGGGTCGTTGAGGAGCCGCGAAACATACTGCTTTCCTGAGTTACCAGTAAATCATTGCTTAATTATCATACCAAGTGCAGAGGCTTTAAACAGTATTTTTTGTCTGGACAAAATGCAGATAAAAGCAATTTTACTGCTTGCTTGTTTGGGAGAATGTTGTCCTATCATTATTTTGAAAATTTGCCATCTTTCCTCATGGCAAGGAAAATGGAGGTG